TGAGTAGGTTTATGTTAGCATCTTTTGAGAATGAGTGGATCTTAACTTCAACTAACTCATTTCACAGATGAAAGAATCTATTTAGAAAAACAAACAATCACATTAGGCTTTTTCCCTTTGAATTATCTCATGTTTACAGCAAATTATCTTGCGTTCAGTGAATGACGGCCCTTGGGGTTATATTGTTCGCGTGTGTGTGTGGCTTCATCCTGCCTTTCTGTATGAGTCACAGAGCACTTTCACTGCAGGCTCAGACTACTGAACAATGCGATTACTCCAGTTGTCATTAGATCGAGCAATTTACGCTGAACACCCAGTGCATGTCTCCTGAGTCACATCCTCTATTCGAACCCGCACACATACCTCATGCCTGCTCATATCCGACACTGAGTCATACCTGCAACGCACACATTTTTACAAGAACACACCCATACAATCTGAACCACACACACACATCGGTTAAAGAGTAATGCACTACTCACTCACACACTTTTGCAGAATCATACCAATGGATCAAATCAGCACACACCTGTCGTTCATCACTTAAATCTCCTATCTGCCCACTCACATACTGTATGCTTGGATTTACAGTACTGTCTCTTTCTCTCAATTTCTATCACCACGTTTCCTTCGCATTCGGTGAAAAAGAGACAGCAGAAAGTCAGTCAGAGGGATATAGCAGGGTGGAGGGTGAGGGATGTGCTGCATTCTTCAGCAGGCATTCTTCAGTGGGATAATGTGTTGGTATGAGCAGTATGTGGCGATCTGCCCGAGTGGCTTCCAGTGCTGCCTTAAAGAATCATAAAGTAATAATAAAAACGCTCATACAGATAAGAACAAAGATATAAGTGTATATAGACATTCAGACCTATCCAAACAAACACATATGTGCCTAGTCCAACAGTAAATACTGTGTGCTTTACTACTATGAATTATTGTGCATGTTCTAGGATGTGTGTTTCTGCTTGCTGCCAAGTACTTTTATACCAACTCAATCTAAAACATCTGCTAATCCTATGATGTAGACAATCCTACTGAATTTACATAAAGACACAAAATTTTGAGGATCCATCTTGTACAGACCTTGTAACTACGTTTTAATAAAGATTCAACATGCCATGAACCTCATAAACTTTGACTGGAAGTTTCTGGATTTGCCAAAGTTCTCATTATAACAACCCAGTAACTTGTAAACATAACTTTGTTTCCTGGCAAGCCTAAAAAAATCGGTGCATCATGATGGAAATTGCATGAGCAGAGTCAATCAGACTAGAATCTGTGAATCTACGAAAGCCTTTGCCACAAAGACGATGGTCACTAAAGACAGTCAACAAATATTTTTAGTGTTTTATCACATGTCCATCTTGAGATCTTCTTTAACATAGACAAGATGAAGACTGCATATGTAGTGCAAAGTGCAACGCAATGAGAAATATCAAAGTCTATATACACAAAGCATATAATGCAATGACAGAAATTCGGGCAAGACTGGGTTTCTCAAGAGGACCCCAGAGTTGGCTGAAAAATATTAGACACATTGTACCTTTAGGGGTGCAAAAGCTTGTCACTGGGATGATAACCTCAAAGGTGCTTTATTCACTTCTAAATGGTGCATATTAGTACCTGAAAGGTTGCATATTAGTAAGGTATCAATATGCACCAGGCATAGAAAAGAAACAAAGGTGTATCCTTGAGGGTACAGCTCCAGTGACAAGCTAAAAGTGCAATTTTTAATCTGTGAAACACTAGTTCACCTGAACTTCTGCTTTGTATAATGTTGCACCAATGGATGTTTGTACATTTTAAAGGGGCCATATTATGCGATTTCATGTTTTTCTTTGTCTTTGGAGTGTTAAAAGCTGTTTGTGCATACAGAAGATCCGTAAAGTCGCAAAGATTAAAGTCTCAAACCCAAAGAGATATTCTTTATAAAAGTGAACGCTCAGCCACGCCTTCCTAAAACGCCTTGTTCAAACACACCCCCAACATGTCTACGTCACTGTGTGGGAAGATTAACCCAAATGTATACGCAAAGAAAGAAGGCGTAACTTTTATTCTCGCTGTAGTATTCGGCTTGTTCGAGATGCATCGGCGCTGTGCAGACCAATCGGCAAATGACATCAAAGTACCACGAGAGCAATTCAAAAAGCATGAAGACTCGTCTGCTCTCCTATCACTTTCGCAGGACTTTGATGTCATACACCCATCGGTCTGCACAGCGCCGATGCATCTCAAACAAGCCTATTGTTGCCGCCGCCATATCGTGGAGACGCTGTGTGCCAAACTACTTTGTTTGGTCTTCCAAAAGAGGACACAACTAGAAATCTGTGATTAAGTTTTATTTACAACACTATTCCAGAACAGTACAACCCAAATATTCGAGTGTGTGCAGCGCATTTTACGGAGGAAAGTTTCCTGAACCTGGTAAGGGGCATAACATTTCCGTCACGCGCTTGAGGAATTCAGCCAATCACAACGCACTAGATAGCCAGCCAATCATAGCACACCGCGCTTTTCAGAACGATGAGCTTTGTAAAAATCGACGCGTTTCAGAAAGGCGTGGCATAGAGGAGAAACAATAATGTACAGTATGTGGAAAATAATGTGTTTTTTGAACCTTAAACCGCATAAACACATTGCATTACACCAAATACACAAAATAATGTGTTTTAGCAACATCATATGACCCCTTTAAGTCTGTGTTCCTGAATGTGTTCTGTTTGTGTGGTGTCTGAGAGGACTCTTGAGGAGATAAAATAGTAGCCAGAGAATGCAAGGAGGACAGAAGACAGAAGGATTCTGCCGACGTGAAGCAGAATGCAAAGCATTGCAGCTGAACTCATTTAATCACCCCTTCGCTTCCTCTATGGAAACAGACAGAAGGATAGATAGACTCTCAGTGTGTGTGGGAGCTCTACTCTCTGCCCATTCCTCCATCACCTCCGCTCTGCCTGGGTCATCCGTCTATTGACGGCTGGAAAAGGATGAGCGATATGAAGCGGAGGAGTCGGTCTGCTACACTAACCAATTTCTCACTGGTGAGTGAACTTGGCGAATCTTGGCAGGAAGATGCATTGAGTGTGTCTGTCTCCTGCCCTGAGGTCTAGAAATCATAATGTGGGTGTTACTATTCAAAGAACAGTTACGATTGTTACAAAAATTGTATGTCTGCACAGCGTTTGAGTGAATCAGATAAACGTCTCTGTGATTGTAAAAACAGCGATAGAAAAACAGCGTTTGAGAATGATCAATAAGTGCAGCAACAGTCGATACTTGTTGCTTCCTGTCCGACAAACTACATGTTCCTTTATCCTCTGTCTACCTCGATTTCTATTTTTCTCCCTTGTGCCAAGTCAGTCCCTCCATCTTCCGTTTCTTTTGTCTTTTGCCTTGTCTCTCTCCTTTGCACACCCCACCCCCCCTCCCCCCCATGCTTGCTCTACTGCAGTGTGCTCTGATTGGACGAAAGCTCGTCTCGAACCATTTTAACTTTTTCAGAGTTGGTTATACCATTGGCTATCTCAACCAGGCCTGGGTGAGAGAAAAAGGGAGGGCAGGGGGCATTCCCCTCGGTCCCGTACCCACTGCGGGGAGGGCGCAGTGGACATGACTTCGCAAGCTAGGCCCAGGCAGACTGGCAGCCTGCCTGGATAGGACTGGATGGAGCCAGACCAGCCTGTTTGGCCTGGAGGCCTTTAGAGATTAAGGTTTATTTGATCGGGCACATCCATGGACAGCTATCCCACAACAAAGATGGGCCCTAAGAGAGTGCCAGGAGACTGCTGTGTCATGTTTTCTTTCTCTCGCTTCATGCACAGATGTGCCGAATCCTAACACGATTACTGTTGTTTCAGTAAGCAAATACTTTGGCAGGTTTATTAAACTCTCAATATTTTATATAAGCCTGTTTCCTCCTCAAAGTAAATTGAAACTTTATTCTCCTAACTGCAACTTTTTAATTTCGAAATGTGTCTGCAAAATTTACTATTGACTTCTTACCCCACTCTATTGTAACATCTCACAATTGTAACTTTGTTTCTCATAACTGCAACTTAATTTCTACCAAATTGCAATTTTACAGTTGTGACTTTGTGTCTTGTTATTGCAACTTTATATTTCAAATTGTTACTGAATACTTTGTAAATGCAACTTTATTTTTTCCCAAATTGTGACTTGATATCACAATATACCAAGTTGCATCTTGGCTTCCCATAATAATAATTCCCATAATCAAAAATATATCCTTATTTCTACCAATTGTGACGTTATATCACATAATGTTGCAACTGCAACTTTCTATTAATTGTGACATTATATTTTGTAAAGTTACTTTGTAATGTGACCATATCTCACAATTTGCTATATCTTGCATTTCACATTATCGCAACTTTATTGCAATGTGATTCTCCCAATGTGATGTAATTTGACACATCTTGCAATTGCGACTTCGTGGGATAAAAAAAACTCAAGAGAAAAAAAAAAGTCGGAGTTACAAGATATATTGTCCTATTGTGTTTTGTGACATTTTATGCTATCTTGTTATCTGACTATATCTTATTTTAAACTTTCTCACAATTCTTTTTTTTTTTTTTTTACTCTTTTGGAAACAAGCTTCCATAATATTTAGCTCATTTTTACGTACAGTAACTAAATGTGCTTTCATGCTGTCCACAATAAGAGCTGGACAGCACATATAAAAGAGAGACTGTAGTATGTGGAAGGCTTTTCCAACTATAGAATCACTCAGGACACTCAGAAATGAACATCCGCGGTTCTTCAACCCAAATTATGATGATGATATCTGGTTGACTCATGGATTGTGACTACAGAGGGGCGGTGCCACCAACCACTCCCTTTTAGAACACTGTTCTGCTGGGTCATGTTTTGAAGACTGTTGAACAGACAGCTACAACAGGGCGCTGGTGTGACAGCCTGCCACCTGCAGGTTCACTACAGTACTGCAACCATAAATATGAATGGACATATCACATCACTCTTACCTCTATTGTATGTGCGAAATATTCAATTCAGTTTTGAACTTGCAGATTCATCTGTAAGGGAAATACAAAAACATATCTTAGTTTAGTCAAAAGAATATTGCAGTCAAACCTTAAAAGAAATGTAAAAGAAAAGTGACGTTTTAAGCGGCTTGTCTCATATCTGAATGCCTTCGGCTAATGTAAGCATGTCATGATCTTTACTCTACCCCTTCCCCCCATCTCTTACTCTGCAATAATCTATCTCTATCCCTTCATTTATTTCTCTGTGTACTGTGGAAATATTCTTTTCTCTTGTTCTAAATCTACCTTAGTCCCTCCCCCTGCTTTTCTCCCTCCCACGTTGTCCTCAGATGCCCCGGCCTGGCGCCCTCATGCTGGTGCTTTTCCTGTCTGTCTGTCTGTCTGTCTGTCTGTGTGTGTGTGTGTGTGTGTGTGTGTGTGTGTCTTAATGTTTCAGTGTTTCGTTAAGCTTCATTGAATGGCAAATGTTTACACATTTTTATAGAAAAAGAAAAAGTGGGCAATCATTATTATTCCAGAAAACATATAAAAGACAGAAAATAAGAAAGTAATATTTTTCCCTTCTCGTAAAATGAAGGAACAAGTTTTAGTTTAATTATGTTGGACTTCTTTTCACATACTTCATTCAACTTGTCGCAAACAGAAAAGAAATCCGGATTCGTCTAATTTCCGTTTTGTTTGCATTGTAGGCAAAGTCTAACCTTTTATCTTGTAGAAGCCATGCTTTTCTCCCCCCATCCACCCCAGTTATTCCCTGCTTCCATTTTAATTAACGTTCTATCGCTCTCTCTCTCTCTCTATCTGATGAGGAAGGGGGTGGGAATTGGGGTGGATATCCGCATTGGTTGCCATGGCACCAGACAGCTCCATTTCTACCAATGCACATGAGTAAAGTGTGTGTGTGTTTGTGACTGTGAGACGCTGTGCAAATTGTGAATGTCTGAGTCTTAGTCTGTCATTCAGCTCAGCTGTACTGTGACTAATTCATGAGCTACATTTAGTTTTTTTGTTTCCTAAAACAATCAAAAGTTCAGTGACAGATACAAAGAGGCAATCAAAAATCGCCTGTGCCTCGCAAGTGTGCAGAAGAGGGTGGGGATGATCTAAATTTCGTGTTACTTTCCTGAAGATGGATTTAACCTATTTGGATTTCACTATTTTGGTTGGGTGCGTTTCACTTCCATTAGAGGCTATTATAAGAGCACATCTGTTGCAAAGCTTTCTATTCCTCTTAGAGCAGTGTCTCTGATCTGTTACTGGCTTTTTCTGCAATTTTTTCTCCTCTCTCTTTCCAGAAGAGGGCAGTATTGTTTCGCAGACTCTCACCCAGAATTCTGAACTATGACCATGGATCTGAGGTCTTCAGATTCAGGGTTATTGATCATGTGGTTCGTGGCACTGCAGCTGAGAGTGATTATTACAGTGAGAAATGAAAAGGGTTTTTGGTCACTGACATGTGTGTTCAAGTCCTTTGCAAGAAAACAAGCAGAAATAGTTTTTTGGTCTTTTGGGAAGAAGCTACAAACTACGAAAAACTCTTCATGGGATCCATATTTAACATAAATTTTAAAAAGGTGGGCCAAAAAACTGTGAAAAATACATTAGTCATGTTTTCATGTGTTTTTGTAAATGTAGGGACACTACATTAAAAAAATTGTGTTTGGAAATACCAAAATGCACAAAGAAATGTACATTAAAAAATATAAAGTATTTTTCAGTGAGAAGATCAAATATGACTTCAAATATGATGAAAACACATTTACCAAAAACAAGTCCTAGAAGCATCACAAAAGTCACATGTCTTTGCCTCAACAAATAATTTGCTCAGAGAACAAAAAGAAAAGATGTTTCTCTGGTCATTCTGAAATGTTGAGAGCCAATGGCTGTCAAAAAATTATTGTCAAACAGTTCTGAAAGGAAGCAGCCAATTTCCACAGGAGTGATGGATGAGGATGAGATGGAAACGTCTTTTTTTCCAACAAAATGTTTTTGCCACATTCCATTTTTCGGCCTAAATTAATTTTGCAACTTGCATGTAAACAGCTAATAACTGTATTAACCGAGCAGAGCCACTTCACTGCTTGCTGTTTCCTTGGAGCATAGGCACTGAACAAACTTGCAGAGACACACAGTAACATTCACTCACACACACACACACAGTCTCTCACAAGTACATACATTGACTTCACCACAGTGTAAACCTACAGTACTGTTGAAGGCCTTTGCTTTGAGGATGATCCTCTTCACTAAGTTAAACAAAAGGGCTTCTCCAGCAGCCTGTAAGACAAACACTCTTCCTAGAGAAAACACTAACACAGTTACTCTGTAACCCATACTGCGTAAGAGGACGCATGTGCATGCACACACACAGCTGTGCAAAGGTCCCACGGAGAGGTACAACTATGCGGATGTCTTGAGCCCAGAGCAAAATAAAGACAATAGAGCCTTTGACAGTATTTCACTACAGTCAAAATGCCTGTAGTTGTCCTTTGTTTTTCTCTTTGGTCTCAAACTTTCAAATTATTTATGTTTTATAAAAGTTATTTTTTTACTCCATCAATTTCCAGGAAACTATGCATAGTGTAATTAGATTTCAGTTTCAAAACAAGTTTCAAAAAGTCAAGAGATTCAAAATCATTGACAGATTTACACGTACTTGAGAATTTTATTGATCCATTTGTTTGATGCTTCTATTTTTGGCTTTACTAGACAGGTTAGAAAGTTTGCTACAGGCAGATTTTAAGGAATATTCTGCACTCAGTAGTTAAGCTCAATCAACAGAAATTATAGGATAATTGTCAATTGTTGATTACCACTAAACAATTCCACACTGAAATACATTCAATAGTATAGCCACAAGACATAAACAATGTGTGTTAACGTCATTTCAGTTTTAAACATTTTTTTTAACTTGTCTTCCATTACAACATATAAACCCTAAAAGGACTGTAAAAATTACAAGTAAAGCTCAAATAATACACGGTATCAACTAAAGAATTGCTTTTATAAAATTAAGCATCACCTTTTGTGCTTTTAAAATCTCAAAAATTGACCCCATTTACTTCTATTGTAAATTTCTAAATGTAAAAGTGGAACAAAAAAAAGTTGACTTTTTTTATGTGGTAATTTATTAGTCATTTGTTAAACAAACACTGTAATTGAGATTAAATCGTATTGAACCCAGAGTATTCTTTTAACTGGCCAACACAAGGAATCAAACCGCACAAAACAGCCGCGGGTTGGTTTCCACCCTAAGAGGCCTCTCTGGGTAGGTGAGTGTGTTAATGTATGTCTCTCTGAATGTATGTGCATGAGCACTGTAAACATACAGTGCCGCTCTGAAAACGCTGCACCCTGTGACCCTGGAAACTGCAGTGCAACAAGTTCATTCATATACATGCGTACACACATACACTCAGCAGAGGCCTCTCTGGGAGGAAACACACATGCCTTCTCCATCTGACACCACCAGCAAACACACACACACACGCACATGTTTGGCTCCTTTCCTTTCTTTAGCGGCAGATAAATGCAGGGAAAACACTGACCCCCTGCTAATTATTGTGCTCGTAAACACATAATTTCTGTCCATTAGGATGAAGTCACATGTCCATTAACACTTATCGTGCTGTACATGGACTAGATCTGAATTTAGAACAAATATTCAGGAACAGCTCTAAATGAAAACACATAAACAGTCCCAGAAACTGTACTCGAAAATATTCATTTGGTCAAATACGAGACATTCTGTGGCTCTAGATGACCAGTGAACGGCAAAAAAGGAATGAAGAAAAATACCCCTCAACGAGTTGCTCAATGAATCTGTGCCAGAAGTTCTGAAACTGTATCAAGATACATGTTGCCTGTCAAGCTACATTCCAGACCTGTTCTTTCTCTTTCTGGCTTGAGAACGGACACCTCAGTCATTTGCCTTTTCGAGGGAACTCATAGCTCTTTCGTTGTTACTGGTATTCTGGCTTCTCAGTTTCCACTGAAATGGATGTCATAAGGGAGTTGGGTTTCCAGTCTCACATTTGTCTTATTTTCTGACAAAGATTCAAGCCATTCCAAGATTTCTCTTTAACCAGATGCATTAAAGGTCTAAATCTGGCCAGAATAGCATTTAAAGTCAATCAAAATATATTCTATTTAGTGTTTTATTGCATGCTCCTGGTCTTATTATGATCAATTTATCACACATGTTTTTCAAAAGAAAAAAATGGTTTGTTTTTGTAATATTTAACCAAAATACAGAACAACTTTCTTTTCTTCTAAAATAACTTTCCACAACTCCCTTTCCGCAGATGTCACTAAGGCCTAGTGGGTAATGTTAATAAACAACTTATGCAAGTTAGCTTAGGCATTGTTTTAGCAAACTTATCTGACTTAATTTTGGTTTGTAACACCCACTTTTCATCTTCCAATCAATTTCCACTCCACATTTTTCTGATTGAGTATTATGTGTACACACTGTACTGAACTGTTAAAATAAACCTGAAATCTTGTTACTTCTATAATGAGATATACATTATAGAGGTAACATGTTGTGAACAGCACTTCGTGTTGACTTTAACTGTTGAGTACAGTGTGCGTTTTGTGTGAGCACCAGTTCATGATTTACCACATGCTTCTCTGGACTTCTACATAAGAAAGTATAATAAACACAGCAGTCACTTAGCTTTCTTCAACTGCCCTGGCTGACTTTCATACACACAGTCTCATTCTGTCATGTGTAATGTACACAGAGAGGCACTCTCATGTTTTCCTAAGACATGCTGGAAGTCTAATGATGTGTTAGGAGACATTTCTGTTGGATAAAGTGAACAAACACAAGGTGACCGTTTCAGATCTGCAACATAAGTCTGCATAACAAAGGGAGCACGAAAGACTTACAAAAGAATGTTATAAACAGATGTTTCTGAAAAACATTAGACTGTGCTCTGACATTTAAGAGAGAGTTTACTTCATCGAAATTAATCTGTGAATTAACACTGGAATGTGATTTCTCTCTGTGGTTGGATTTACTACTC